TCTTGTTGAGAAGAGGCAAGCCAAAGAGTATCATCCATATAGGCTAATACTGAACACTTGGCTTTAAGTTGTTTAAAGGATTTGTTTTTGAGACTAGCACAGGTCGAATGAAGACATATCAGCAGATGAAATTCCGGATAACAATCGGAAACATATCGGGTCCATATAGAACTTTGAAATTTTGAGCTTAATCAAAGACCTATCGGCATGCCAATATTAACATGATATTGTTTGTATATTATACCAATTTTTTTAATAAACTACAGAAGGAATAGGCCTAATATCGGTATAATCAATATTTATTTGTTATTAATTTGATATTAATCAAAGTCTTCTAATTAATCTAAGAATAGTTCAGTATAATATCGGAATTCTGATATTTATTTGAAATTATTCCGAAATAACATAAATATTTATTTATATAAATGTTTATTTAAAATTGTTCAGATTTTTGTATTGACTACTATAACTAGAGATGGGCACTATGCAGCATGGTGCTTAATCGTCACATAAAATAATTTATATAAAAAATTAACATCCGATGTGATTTTCATAATTTTAATCATGTAACAATTAAGCACAATGTTTTCGGAATATCAGCAATCCCAATATTACTACTAAATTCATATAAAACATTCAAATTAGGTTTAATAGTAATAGCTAATGATTTTTTTTTTTTAGAAAATATCAAGAACACGATATAGCTACGTATTAGTTAATCTACAATGCTGTAAAATTGTTGTGTTTGATTTATTAGATATATAAAAATTTTAATACGTAAAATATCATGCATCACGAAAGTTATATAAAATTATTATTATATGTGAAATTTTCTATTAACAGGTATTACTGACATATATTCTATCAGGTTTTTCTTTCCAACTTTAACAGTACCAGAAATGAATCGACCTAAAATATTGTGAATAGGAATTATACAATCCCTACTTATATTATAAAAGTTCCGATTCCACAATTCAATATTACAAATATCATCTACTTGGCAATGATACCTAATTTTATGATTATCAACAGGTTTAAACCAATGTACAAATACCAATACATGCTTTTTAGGTCCTTCTGGTAGCTGTACCACATGCTCAAAATAGAATTGAACGATTCCAGGATATATGTCGGTAGATCTATTGGCTAATATAAATTTGGCTAGAATTTTTGCCAACCTTTTTTGCTTTGCTGCAGATGTTGAACCAAAAATTTCATCACTGATTTTTACTTTTCCAAATTCAGTTACTCTAGGCAAAACTGGTATAGATTCTGATCTTCTGATATTCCTATCATTTAATGACTTGAAACTATAATTATATGCGTTGTTATAATATTTAGTCAATATATCTGATATTTCTTTCGAAAGGATCTTTCGAGCATTTTTAGGACCTAATATTTCTCCTGAAAAAGGTTCAACACCAGTTCCTGAGCTTTCTTCGATGTTTCTAGACATTGATAGAAACTCATAGCGATCATTTTCATTTTGTATAAAAAGACTGCCTTTTGTAGTTCTTTGCTTAATAAACTGTAAACACGTATGAAAATGACCTTCTGCTTGTTTTGTAAGTTCCTCCAATAGTGAATAAGATTGTATGGTTTTAAATAATTCAATTTCAATTTTTCTATTACTATTATAAAACGAACCTATTAATATATAAAAATTTTTTTATAAGCTATCGGCATTTTAATATGGCAATTAATAAAATTTTATAAGTGTCAAACTTACCTAATAAACCATTCATTCTTTCATAACTAAAACACCAGAATGCATACATTGGTCCGTAGTCATTTACGCATTCACAAATATTTAAACATAAATGTAAATTGGGCGTTATTTTTTTAGGACCATATTTTTTTTTAATAAGCTTCACCATATTTAAAAGTAACTATTATATCGTCATTCAATAATTAAGTATAACAGTATTATATATTTAGTCTAAGGTGAATTAT